GTGCCCCTCCAGACCCTGCCTACAGCTGTCCCAGGGCGCCCTCCAGGCCCTGCCTACAGCTGCTAATGGACATCTCTCATTGCTCCCAACACCACTGGGAGAAGGGTTCAATTATCACCAATGAGCTTCTTTAGGGTCAGACATTCTAAGTGCCTTGCCCAAAGTCAGGCAGTGGACGAACAGCATGGCTACCATCTGAGTCCTTTAGCCTGGGGCCAGCATTCTTCAGAAGCCCCTCCCTCCCTCCCTCCCTCCCTCCCCCCCTTCCTCCCTCCCTCCATCATGCATTCAGAAACAGAACTTCCAGCAAAAGCAGATCCATTCTACCCCTGCAGGTTCAAGAAAACTGGAGAGCATAGATTCAGAACCTACATCAGTAAGAGATACTTTCTGGTTTTTTTAGGTAGATACAATTTATTATTTCTCACTTTTCTTCTCATTGATATCAACTATCGTTTCTGAATTTCAGGTTTAATGTCAAAAATATACAAATATGGACAAATTATTCAATAACCAAGCCAACATTCTGGATGCAATACAAAAATTAAATTAGTCATTGGTAGAAAACTCAAACATAAACTACAAAACAATAAAATAGTCATTGTAACACAATAATTTAGTTATATAACTAAGGATAAAAACTAACAGACATTGCTTCAGTTCAAACTAGCACTCTCCTTTAAACAGAGAAAACATTAGTCTAATGTTTCTCACCCTGTCTGCACAGTCCAGGAATAGAAGAGGTGAATCAGTGCTCTGAAAAAGAAAAAAAAAATCTACACGTAAAGCCCACCTTCAAATAATTGAATGAAATCTCTCTAAAATGGGGCTCAAGCAAAGATTTAGACCTGCAGGTCTAAAGCCATAAACAATAACCAAAAAAAAAAGGTCCTAACAACAAAAATCAATAGATTGATCATTTCCTTCCTTTTATCTCATTTTTGATTGCCTGTGGTAATTAATATAACAAACACTGGATACTGGAAATCACTTAAACATGCTACTCAAATTGAAATTCTCACTAGTTTAAATTTACAAAGCTCTTTTAAAACAATATTAGCCTTCAGAAATAATCCCACGTTTTAATCTCGCATACTCAAGTCGCCTAATTGGTCAACCACAAGGAGTCACCAGGATGTACTAGGAAACATTTAGCATCCATTATCAGCTTTCTGCTGCAGAGGAACATGAGGCAAGGTAAGACAGAGAACTGAATGCCTTCTGACCTCCAAGGGCACCTGCACTCACATAGACACACTAAAATAATTTTGACTTATTAGATTATGATAACTTCATAGTTATAAAAATAGTTATCTAATATAAAAAGCAGAAAAATATATCTATTAAAAATATCTTGAAATAAAAAATCAATATGATTTCTCTAATATTGAGTATCATCCACAGGTAAGAGTTTCTAAGCAACATCATTAGATTTTTCTCCCTAAAACCTGTCCCTCCACAATCACAATCCAAGAACACTCAGATCAAGGTGTGGTTTACAGTCTTCCAGTCCCTCCTGTCTTAGAGTTCCTGATGGCTGTAATGAAACATCATGACCAAAAGGAACTTGGGGAGGAGATGGTTTATTTCAGCTTCTACTTCCGGGTCACAGTCCACCACCAAGGGAAGTCATAGCAGGACCCCGGAAGCAGGGACTGAAGCAGAGGCCATGGTGATATGCTGCTTACTGGCTTGTTCCTCATGCCTTGCTCAGACTGCTTTCTTATACGACCTATGACCAGGACCATCCGCCCAGGGGTGGCTCCCCACCTCTGTTTCCCATTCCCCACCTCTGTAGAATGGGCCCACCTACATAAATCATTAATCAAGAAAACACACTATAGATTTGCCTACAGGCAATGCGATTGAGACATTTTCTGGATTAAGATTCTCTCTTCCTAGATATGTCTAGGTTTGTGTCGAGCTGACAAAAACCAACCAGCACATTCCTTTACCAAATAATATATGAAATAGCCTGTCCTTACAGTATCTTTGAAAAATGTCTTCACCTGTACCACAAGTAAAAACTTGCATCTACACTTATAGATGGTCAAGTTAAAATGTGGCGATATATTGTGTATCCTAATAAAGCTTGCCTGAGGATCAGAGGACAGAGCCAGCCACTAGATTAGACACAGAGGCCAGACCGTGGTGGCACACACCCTTAATCCTATCACTCTGGAGGCAGAGATACATCGGGATCTCTGTGAGTTCAGGGCCACACAGGAAACAGAGCCAGGCAGTGGTGACACACGCCTTTAATCCCAGTACTGGGAAGCACACAGGCCTTTAATCCCAGGAAGTGACAGCAGGGCAGAGAAAGGTATTGAAGGCGTGAGGAGACAGGAACTAAGGCAGTTCAGCTGAGACCCTTTTGGGTGAGGACTCAGAAGCCTTCAGTCTGAGGAAACAGGATTGGCTGAGGAGTTGGTAAGGTGAGGTTGGCTGTGGCTTGCTCTGCTTCTCTGATCTTTCAGCTTTCACCCCAACATCTGGTACTGGGTTTTTTATTATAAGATTCGAACAACATTAAAACATGAAAGAAAAAAAAAAACTGAGCTGAGATTATTGCGTGTGAAGAGTTCAAATTCCACATCTATAGTCCATAGCCTGGAGGCTTCCATTTTCCTACTTGTGGCTCGAGATCATTTAGGAAGCAAAGGTCACTCCTATAAATTAATCAACCCTAATAAATATCCACCCCCATAAGTACTTTCCTGAATCATGTCTATTGATTCACTCTCTAGGAGGCTCCAACACTCAGCGCCACAACCAGAGCACAGCCCTGAAGCCAGCGTTCCCTTGGGAACTGTACAGGGACAATCACTGTGCCTGACTCCACGGTGAGTCAGAACCAGGCTTGTGCTGAGCTGCATGCCCAGTTCCCACAGCCAAGACCTTCTTGAGTTTCCCACAATACTGTATTCAAAAGCACCAGACACATGCTTTTGTCTGCCTAACCTCCTTATCTCTTCCTAAGTCAGTAAAGAAACAGTTTGAGAAAGCCCAAGTCAGAAGAACCTGGTAAGCATTCGGGGTTCACAGGGCTGAGGCCTCTGTGCCGAAACACCACCCAGTGACGAGCCTGGATTCAGAGCCATGCAATCCAAGGGCTGTGACTGCCATTGGAGGGGGAAAAAAAAAACCTTCGGTACCCACAGTCTCAGAAAGCACATTAAAATGTAGTTTAAAATATAAACACAATTGGTTTCTTTAACATTTTGTCTTTTTAGTTGAGTAAAAGCCCTTTAAGGACTCTCACTGTATAGACAGTCTAAAGCTAGAGAGCTCATAGCCACTGTTGAGACAGGCTCTTGCTTCTTGCTGTGTAGTCCTGACTGAACTTGAACTCAAGAGACTCCTGCCTCAGCTTCCAGACATGCGTACTGTGGTGCCTGCTAAAAGCCCTTTTTTTGGGGCGGGGTTCTCTTGATGTAGTCCTGGCTGCTCTTGCCTCTGTCCTCCAAGTACTGTGATTAAAGGCATGCACCACCAAACCCAGCCTTAAAGGCCAATTTCTTTAGAATACATTATTGAGCAAATAACCATGGCTGGTGTTTCAAGGGCCTCAGAGGAAGGGCTTGCTTGCTGCGGGAACACTGGGGACTTAAGAGAAATTCCCGGAAGGAAAGCTGCCACCTGCAGACTAAAATGATCCCTCCTCCATGGTTGGTGGTGTCGCTTAGCTGGTAAGGTCAGAGGGCACTTTCTGCACCTGGAGCTGTCTGTCCCTGTGTATTCCCTCCAGGAGAAGCCAAGCCAAGGAGGACAAGAATCCCAGGAGCTGACAGGCCAGGAAGCCAGATCAGCCCATGTCAAGGTTTTCAAGGTCTTGTTTCCCTGCAGTCTGTCTG